TTTATTAGCAAATTCACACTTATAAATATGACATTTTCTTTTGTCTGTAACTATTTAGATAATTTATAATAGAAAAAATGTATTTTGTATTATAAAATTTTAGAAATATTACATATTTTAATAGAACGCTTTTTTTCTTTTTTTTAATTAGTCCCTAACTTTTATTTAGAATATATTCTTTATTTTTTTCTTTTTGTTACTATTAGAAATTTTACATAGTTTAGTAGAACCATTTTTTTTTCTTTTTTCTTAATTAGTCCATAATCATTGTTTAGAATATATTCTTTATTTTTTTTTAAACATTTTTGTTAATATTAACACATGTCATAATCTAAATTAACAATTACACATGTCACGATCTGGTGCTTAAGAATTTTGTCTACAGTCAAGCTCTCATCGCGCGCATTCTCTTTTATATATTATTCCATCTCTCATCTTTTTGCTATCAAACTATTTCAGACGAGTACTTCACTGTTTGCGTTCCGTTGTGGCGAGGTGCAATGAGAGGTGATTGGGAATCCGCCCATGCTATCATACTTGAACGACCTGCTATATTAACCGCAACGATTAACGATAGGGGGAAACCCTTCTTCACACCGCTGTTCTATCAAGTCACATACAATTTGTCGACAATCTAGTTAGTTTGTTCAAGTTTGATAGCTACGTAGCCCTGAAAGACAAGGAAGGCAATACAGCACTCTGTTTTGCTGCGGCTTCGGGATTCGTTGATATAGCTCAAATACTCATACATAAATATGCAAATCTTGAACATGTTCGAGGGTATGAAGGACTAGCTCCAATCCACATTGCGGCTCTGTTTGGTCAAGCACAGATGGTTCGAGTTCTTTATCGCATTACAAGCTTCAAAACTTTAAATTGTTCAGACACGGAACTGGGAAACATATTTCTTGCCATCGTATCAGCTGAGATATTTGGTAAATATCTAACTTCCTCTTTCTTTTCCATTCTCATACTTTAATTTCTTTGTTCCATTCTCAAACCAACCGTTTCCTTTCTTTCGCGCAGATGTAGCTTTGGACATGTTAAAGGCAACACCAACACTAGCACAATCTCGAAGACATGACGGAAAGACGGCGTTGCACTTGATGGCTTGCAAGTCCTCTTCAATTTCCCATGAAAACCACATGAACGTGTTTCAGACGCTAGCAGATTATAGTCTTTCCCGTTTAGGTTTCGTACGCTTATTTCGTAAAGCCAAACAAGGAGCCTTAGCCCATCAACTCCTTGATCAGTTATGGAGTGTGGTCGTCAAATTCCCACATGATGAGATTACGAGAATATTGATATCACCTTCAAGACTACTCTTTAACGCTGCAAAAGCTGGAAATTTAGAGTTTTTGGTCATACTGATTCGTTCTGATCCCGACCTGCTACAGATGTTTGATGAAAAGAATCGAAGTTTGTTGCATGTCGTCGCTTTACATCGTCACGAAAACATCTTCAACATCATCTACGAGCTCGTGGACATGAAGAATCTGATAATATTTTATAAAGACAGATTTGAAAACACCATGTTGCATGATGTGGCGCGTTTACCTCAAGACTATAACCAATTACACAAGGCTCATGGAGCCGCATTTTATATGCAAAGAGAGAGCTCCTTTGGTTCAAGGTATGTTAAAACGCAATTATATTATGAATTATTTCTGTCTTGCGTATGTTTCCTTATAACAATTGTACTTTTTCACATCTCACGTTGTTGAAGAGATAGTTCCTCACACATTCATCGAAGCTGAAAACAAACTTGGCCAGAAACCACATGATATATTCATGAAAGAACACAAGAAGTTACGCATAGAAGGAGAGAGATGGATGAAAGAAACTGCAAAAGCATATATTATCATAGCTACTCTGATGATAGCTACTGTGTTTTTTGCAACACTCTTACCACTACCGGGTGGATTAGATGACCTAACGGGCAAACTCAAGTTTGGACAGAAGAAACGGTTTGATGTCTTCTTTTCAGCAGATATGTTTGGCATCCTTTTTGCTCTAGTGTCTACTGGGTTCTTCGCAGCAATCAAGAGTTCTCGGTTTGCCCAAGAAGATTTTCGGACAAACTTACCAACGAAACTAATGGTGGGGGTTTTAGGCTTGGTTTGATACCATTTGCTCGACGTTGATGTCTAGATTTCTCTTCCGTAGACATAGTAAGCAGCATCTACTGATTATCTAATTATTGTAATAGTCTCAAATATAAACTAGAATTGAAATAAAATCTCACAATTCAATCAAACAAATTTAAATCTGTGACATTGTCTTTTCCGAATATGCTTAATATAAATCTGCTACACTTACAAAATACTCTGTTACCAAGCATATATCGTAAGATTTGAGCCTAAATTTTGACTCGAATTATCTGGCCCAGGCCCATTACAACGATGAGTGTTCGTCTCTTCCCCTTATCTGCGTATTACTGCTCCCTCACGAGCTTGAATCATCATCCATGGCTGCTTCTGGTTTGGCTACTCTCTTCTACTCGCATTCCATTAACCCTATCACCGGCTTATCGACCCTCTCTTCTCCGGCTCGGATTCGTTCCTCGCCTCGCGTTTTCACCGGATTTCATAGCCTCCGACGCCGCGGTTTCCGGCGGTTCTCTCATAATGTTACCGCCGACCCGTTCTTCAGCTTCTCGTGTAACTGTTTTTCCGCCGTATCCACTACCACTCTCGATTATGAGGTAAGATTTTCGTATTCACGTTTCAATTTCTGTGATGATTGAGCTTTGATTTCTCTTCTTTTCCTTGAATTCTAGTCAACAACTGTGGCTGGATTCAGATGAAAATTTGGTTTTAGATTGCTGGTTTAGTGGTTTATCAGTCTCAGTGATTAAAAAATGCAACTGTAATGGATGCTCATGGAGAAATCTGTAGTAATAATGCATGTAGGTTGATTAGAGATATGTTACAAGGTCTCTAGATACTATGATCATGTGTTTTTGCTGTACATTTCTGTAGAGATTATGAGAGAAAACCAAAATTGAATAATTAATTGAGAGTGTATATGATGCAGTTCACGGATGGTGGCAGAGAGGTGGAATTAAGATTAAGGTTGAGAACAGGTGAGATACTTTCTCCAAAGGATATATCCGTAGACGCAGATGGAACATCGTTAGCCGTTAAAGAAAAGCGCAATGGATTGCTGATTACTCTTCTAGAGACTAACCAACTCTTTGAGAAAATTATGCCTTCTGAAACAATATGGTTAGCTATGCGTAAATCTTGCAATCGAGTTTTTTAAATGGTACGACTAGTTTTGTACTTAAGAGCTGAAGTTTGTTTTTTTTATCCAGAACAGGTACATAGACGAAGATCAGTTGGTTGTAAACATGAAAAAGGTTGATGGGGATTTGAAGTGGCCTGATATTGTTGAGTCCTGGGAATCTTTGACTGCTGGAATGATGCAACTCCTTAAAGGAGCATCAATCTACATTGTGGGAGATTCAACCGAGATTAACCAAAAAGTGTCTCGGGAGCTAGCGGTTGGCCTTGGGTATGCTGCTTTTCATTGAATTTGATTCCTGCCTTTCGTTCAAATCTCTGTATGTGTATAGTACTATGAAAACTTTGCAGAGTCTTATACAGTTAATATGATCTGCAGGTACAGTCCTTTAGACTCAAAGGAATTGCTGGAAAGCTTTTCGAAGCAAACAATCGATTCTTGTGAGTCTGCTTTTGGATCATGATGATCTAACAAGAAATATTCGATGGTTTCATAAAATAATGTGAAGCCTCACTTCTTAGGACCCTTTGTTTTTATCCTTGTTAGGGATTCTTGCAGAAGGGCCGGAATCTGTAGCTGAAGCAGAGAGTTCGGTGTTGGAAAGCTTGAGCAGGTAAATGTCTCTTGTGTTCAATCTCTTTTCAGTTTCCAGTCAAGATTGGCCACCAATCTCCATGGATTTTTGCAGCCATGTCCGTACGGTTGTCTCAACTTTGGGAGGTAAACATGGAGCTGCGGGGAGAGCTGATAAGTGGAGACATCTTTACTCCGGATTTACAGTCTGGGTATCACAGACTGAAGCCACAGGTCAATCCTCTCTGCGTCCATTTAAAAGTGAACCTTATCAACAAAAAACAAGAATCATTGCTTATCTAAGATTGCTTCTAAAATTACAGACGAGGAATCAGCGAAAGAAGAAGCAAGGCGAAGCAAGCAAGAGAGGGAGATTGGGTATTCAAACGCTGACGTGGTGGTGAAGCTCCAAGGCTGGGACCCGACGCATGCCAAGAGCGTGGCTCAGGCGTCGTTGAGTGCACTTAAGCAACTGATCATTTCAGACAAGGGACTTCCAGGTAATAAAGAGAAGAAACCCAATTGTAAATTTTGTGATTTATCTGATAAACGTTAAATGTGTGGTTTGTTTTTGAAGGTAAGAAGAGTCTGTACATAAGGTTGGGTTGCCGTGGCGATTGGCCCAATATAAAACCGCCGGGATGGGATCCGTCATCTGAAACCGGAACTCCTTCACAGTTTACATAAAAAGTTTCCAAAACATGCTCTATTGTTTGCTCCTACAAAACCACCCACATTGCTCTTGAAGTGTTATTAATTTCATCATTTGTAATAGTTGTATATTCAATGATTATTTGACAATTGAATAAGTTAGAGCTGATGAATTCTACCTCATATCTCACCACCACAAAGAACCAAAGATATTGATCAATAAGACTCCTTGATTCCAATTTAAGGAATATTCAAGACAATGTAGATTAGTTTCACAAGAGCAACTAATAACAAAAATAGTAAGTTCCTAAAGATGGTTTAATCCTAGTTTAGCTAAAAAGTTTCACGACCGCACAAAGAAGTCGACAGATTTCTCTAGCACAAAACCTTAAAACCCTCAAAACAAAAGAGAAGCTCCTTCGTCGTCATCATCATCTTCAGACCCCACCTGTGGTCGGTTTCATCTTCATGGCAGGGTGTGGCAAGCGTTGAAGAGCTGTTATGGTGGATCTCAACAGATCATCATCTCCAACAATCACCCGCAGCTTCTTCGAGAATTCTGCTCTAGACATCTTCTTATCCTGAAACAACACATAGATTCAGTAAAACAATATGACAATCTTGACACATTGATAAAAGCAATGAAATAATATTCTATACCCTAAGTTGTTGGTAATCAGCAGTGATCAAGTCCATGTCTTTCTGGGCAATTTTGCTTGAGATAGCACTGAACAGCATAGGGAAAGGCATCAAAGAAGATCTAGGCTTCCTAGTGCTGGAACCGGCACTGTTGTTTTGGCTCCCTCTAGATCTTTCTGAACCTCCATTCGATACCCTTCCTGCCCCCTGTTTAAAACAAACAAGCCGCATTACTGTTTTATGTCCCAATCAAAGATGCACACTGACTGATTGAGAACAACGAACTCTCTCAGGGCCAATAAACCTCACATTTGAGAGATAACCTTTGGGTCCTTCCAAGGCGAGCCCCAGATTCTCGTGCTTACTCTGAATAGTAGGAAGCAAATTCCCTGCACAAACAGTATATATCATCCGGTTTCAAATACTGCATAAAAAAAATTGTGATGGTTGAAAAAACCCATAATGCATTAGCCATGAATATCTCACTGGACCCCCGGGAAGATGAAGTCTGTTACTACCCCCAGAGGTCACAAGGTGACACATGTTGCTCCTTTTCTAAGTTATAAAGGAAGATTTCAGGGTCCAAATAGCTGATCTTCAGCAAGAGCTATATGCTGTCTCCCATTCAATGCGTCATCAGTTGATTTTAACGGAAATTATACTTTATGTCAACTTTTTGTGTAGGATGGGAAGGTGAATAGGGAGGGAGAACACAAAGTCATCACCTTCAGCATTGGGGATAGACAGCTTGAAGCTAACTACAAATTCTGGGTAAACGTGAGTGTTCATATTCATGTTCCAGACAATATAATGCTTTGGACTCTCGACATTATCAACTCCATTATCGTACTCTTCTCCACCAGTAAAGAATTGCGCTTTATCACCACGAAGAAGCTCCATATTCCCCATTATTACACGGCACAAAACCATGTGCCGTACACCATTTTCATCAATATCACAATGTCTAGCACTGTAAACAACATCTTTCACATGTACTTAGAGAGAAACATAAAACCAATGAAGTAAATCGTGGAAAACAAAAATAGCAGGAGGCAGGTTACATGAAAGAGCAACAGAGATAGAGGTCGAAAGCAAACCTGAAATCAGGGCAGTTTGCAGCAGTTAAGTGAACCCCAACACCATACGTAGACTTTCTAATGAATGCTCCACCCACTCCAAGTCCATGCACCATTATTGCAGGTAACAATCCCTTCTTCGCAGGAACCCATGCATATCTAATGTTAGCATCTCCTCGGTGTTTCTTGGTGATATCAGCTTGTTTCTGGAAAAGATTTAGACGAGCTTTGGCGATCTCACTTGAAAACCAGTACACATCAAGCAACTCTACAGGCCCTAGAGTGACAGTACCTAACGCAAACATTTGTTTGACAGTATCTTTATCAAGTTCTTCCTCAACAGGCTTGACACCAGAGAATATATCAGTTCCTGTTTCATCCCATTTCTCGACAGCAGTATCAGGCTCATGACTGCAGCTATCCTCTGATGCCTCGTCATATTGTCCATTCGAAGACTGCTGAACAACTTGAATATCATCCATATTGTCACTAGACTGCTTCAAGTTCAGCCTCGGTAATTTCACACCATTGACATCAATTTCAAGGTGCAGCTTGATCTCACTATCATGTTGTTCCGGATCTTTCCCACAGAATTGGTGGCAGCCGTCCCTCCCAACACTGTCATAAATTTCGGGGAAAAAGCATTTTCCAGCAATGTCAATCCATGCAAGCTGGGTTTTTACACCCGTTTCCAAGTCTAGTCGATGCATGTGTAAGAAATCCAGAACAAAAAGGCGACCGCACCAGTTGACCTCAATTGCAGCTTTCTTTGCTTCAAGATCATTCCTGATGGCGCAAATAATATGCTCTGGCAAATCACTCCATTCACCATTCTCATATAACATTACACGCCTAGGCACTCCCGTCTTCTTAAAATAACCGTAATATCTGACTAAAGTCTTTCCAGAGTGAATCTCAGAAACATTTCCACCATCCAACTTTCTCCTTTTCTCAAGCTTTTGGGTTAACTTGTTCAGTAAGAGCACATGTTGGAGCTTTGCACATGACCTTCCAGAATCATATGACGTATAGTTCACAGGATGCTTTCTCTTTTTCCCAAATCCATCTTTAAACCTATTATCCAATACCTTGACGTATTTGGCTTCCATTTATATCTATAAAAAGCAGTAAACCTATAACCCTCAATAGAACGTCAACGAACTTTTCAACAGTCCTAAAGATGGAAAGTCATAATCAGCATCGGAAAAAACTGCAAGGAAAAAAAGTGTACATGCGCCAGATGTTAAAAAATTGCAGTTATATATAAAATCGAAAAGGAGGGATCATAAGGAAATAATCTCATAGTTCAATAAGGCATAAAATCAAAAGACTATCATCACTCAATAACCCACATCACAAAAGACATTGCTAGAAACACCATGAGAAAGCAACTATATGAACAGTGATTCATCATTTTTCCTTGCAAAAACATAATGTCCAATAGAAACAACACAAACAATACAAAAGGTAGTTCAGGTGTTTGTATTATAAACGGGGATGTCAGGATGAGAACAGACTCAGTATGCAATATTTAATCAAAAACATGGATGATCCTTGCTTCTACAAGAAAAATATCTTCACAATCTCAGGCTCATATATACAATAATCAAAGAAGAGTAGAAGACGGGAAAGAAGTTACGAATCAACATACACCGAGGATGAAAAAAAAAGATGTAAAAGTGGGACAGAGACTCAACAGGCAAGATCTTACGACACACTGAGAGTACAAAACATACTAGCATATACCACAAAAGAAATCCATAAAGACGTTCAAAAGTGCAAATACAATCACAAATCCGGAGTAGATAGACAGGTAAAATCATCAGAAAGCATGAGACTAACCGGGATGTAGAACCGGATGCATAAATTTGTCTTCATCTTGGGTGCCTTAGAGTTTTTCTTCACTGTCTTTCTTCAAATTTTACAAAAAGTGTTACTGCAAGACAAGCCAACAAATCTCAACCTTTAATGGCAGAAAACAGACCAACAAATAACAGTATTAATGTCAAAAATCATTTCATCAAAAAGCTTTCAGGATAAGCTCTCTTGTACCCATTTTATCAAAAGCTGCAAGACAAGCCAACAAATTTCAAAAATACATGATTATGCAGCTTATTGCAGAAGACTAAACAAAAGCATTTTTTGTTTTTTTTCTGTACACATTTTCAAAAGTAAAACATAATTTGCTTACAACACAATACCAACCACAAAATTGACTCCAAACACCTCAAGAATAACACGAATTCAAACCATTTTTTTCCAGAAGGTACTCAAAAGCAAAATTCCGAATCTAAAAAGCATCCACTAAAGAAGTAACACCAATTTACAGACTAAATCGAGGAACAATAAAGATAAAACAAAAGACAAATTTAGTTCAAAAATTAACCTTTTTAAGAAGAGTTGAGATCGATTCAAAAGGCAAGGGCTTTCTTCTCTGCAAGAGCAAATTAGGAGAAACTGTGGAGGGAGATAAAAGCCACAAGCAAAGAAAATTCAAACCCAAAGACGACGGAGAAGAAACAGTTTGGAAGAAGACGAGCCATATTTATTATATATATATGTATCTTCGAAGGAACAAGCTTTAAGTCGGCGAAGCCCTGGGATTTTCGTCTATTGTCGACCAAATTTTTGCGTGGACAAAAAGCGAATTTTTTAGGAAAGAAAAAAAGTTACGTCAATGCTCAATTCTAATTGGACTGTGACCTAACCTCTGGGACCGTCAAAACACGCAAACCGCCCTAACTTGTGCATTTCGGGTCCGTTAACCGGATCCTACCCGTACCCGACCTAAATGATCATATATTGTTGACCAAAAATTAAGAATTTGTAAAACGACTGCGTTTTAATAAGGGCTTCGGCCCAATGAATCCACTGGTTTAATCAGCCCATATTCAAGCAACGTCGTTTCGGTGAGTGTTAACAAACTCGTGAAGACT